GTGATTTTACCTCCTTCGGCCTCCCGTATCGGACTGGAGTCGACTGAAACACAACAGACAACAGAACAGTCAAACGTTTGTTTCTCCAGAGAGTAAAATGTAACAACGCTGAGCTCTTACCACCTTCAGGGAGCTGAACAAACAGCAGCACAGCGAGCAGCAGCATGGTCTCCAACGCTTCCAGCTCCTCGTTAGTCTCGTTAAGTAAGATCACCTGTGAGCTGCTGCCTCATTTATTCCTGTGGAGACTCATTCATCCTCTCCACACTAACATTACACACACACAGAACTCTCTTCATCCAGTTTGACAGCTTGTCAGCGAGTTCAGCAACTTTTGAAGGATCAGTGATATTTTGGGGGAATTTCTAAAAATGTTTTTAATTACACTGAAAGAATATGGAGGCCTATTGGTGCTTTACAGAGTCTGAACAACTCTCATGATGATTAAACTCGAATATTATCAGCCCAAACACATCTTATAAACCCACTGTACACTATGTTTTAATCAACTCAATAAGTAATATTGATATTTAAATACCACAAAATTCTATGTAATTGAATTAAATGATTCATTTTTAATACTTTAATAGTCTGTATATGAACGGCTGTAAATAATGTTGCTATTTGTCTCAGTGAATCTGAACTGAACGTTAATATTTGCCCACAGACAGTGACAGAGTTCAGCCTGTGTTCTCTCGGACGGACAGCAGGCGGCGCTGTGCAGCTCCTCCGCACGTAAACAAGTAGAAGAAGAAGAAGACGGAGGACTTCCGGAAACACACCGACACGTGGTGTGAAAAGCTCTCGAGGTAACGTTGATCAGAGATTAATCGATGTTTGTTTATCGATACATTGATGAGGATGATCTGTTTTATTCTGCTGCGTCACTGTTGAGTTTATCGTTTAGAACTAGCTAGCTGCTAGTTTACGTGCTAATAGGTTGTTTACAGTCGTTTTATTATTAATATTAATACTAACAGTGTTTATTGTTGTTGTTTATTATTGTTATTGTTTATTGTTTATTGTTTTTAATGGACTTATATATTCAGTGACGGCTGGTGGAGATACTTTGTTATAGCAAAGTGCTCTACGGCAACACTGGAGAGAAGCAAACCCCAAAAAGACAGACCTGATGTTCAACAAAAATCTGTCTTGCTCTCGCTCCTCTCTGTCCTCTTCTGTCTCTCCTCTGTCTCTCCTCTGTCTCTCTCATTCTCTCTCTCCTGTCTTGTCTCTCTCTCCTGTCTCTCTCTCTCTTCTCCTGTCTCTCTCCTCTCTCTCTCCTCTGTCATCCTCTCGTCTCTCTCTCTTCTCTCTCTCCTGTCTCTCTCTGTCTCTCTCTCTCAACTCTCTCTCTCTCCTCTCTGTCTGTCTTCTCTCTGTCTCTCTCTCTCTCTCTCTCTCTCTTCTTCTGTCTCTCTCCTCAACTCTCTCTTTTTCTGTCTGTCTTCTCTCTCTCTCTCCCTCCTCTCTTCTCTGTCTAGAAGAAACTTGTAATCAGCTGTACAACTGTTGTTATTAATGTTGTTTATTATAACATTAATATTATACTAATGATGAAGTGTTAGGACTCCTAAGGTAGTTATCTTTCTCTAACTGTTTTCCAGTCCAGTAGCTTTAGCTTTATTAATGTATTAGAGGCTATCCCACCATAATCAGAAAGAAGCTGCAGTTGTCTGTTCTGTTGTTTCTGTCTACAAACTTTGTTCTCGCAGAAAACACTTTTGTTTTGTCCATCATCATGATTTTTATAGTTTTTCAATTAAAATGAAAGTTGTGATGCAAAAAATGTCTGATGCACATACTCAATATCTGTCGAAATTAACTCTAAAATACCCAGTGAAGCCCGTTAATGCAAGGAAGAAGAAAGAATCAAACAAAACATTTATAAATCAGATATTAACGTTAATCGCTCCTTTCTGTCTTTTCAGGCTGGCGTCATGACGAGGTGGGCCCCGAGCCAACAACGTCCCACCCGAAACCACAAACCAGCGAGGCACTCCCTGGAGCCCGGCTCCCGAGGAAGGAAAGGAGGAGCAGGAGAGGAGGAGCAGCAGGAAAGGAGGAGGAGGAGAGAGGAGCAAGGAGCAGCAGGAGGAGGAGGAAGAGGAAGAGGTCACCCAGGCGGCTCTGGTGGTCCCTCGGGGGCCCAGAGAGACCCTCTGAGGAGGACTCAGCCCGGTGGATCGGGCGTGAACAAACCCAACCGTAAGAAGAAGGAGTACGTGGACGAGGACGTGAACGGGTTCCTGGAGTATCTGCAGCAGAGCGGACGGCCTCTCCCCCGGGGGGACAGAGGAGGGAGGGAGGAGGAGCAGGGGCTGAGGGAGGAGGTGGAGACAGCCCTGAAGAAAGACAGGAGGAGGGAGGACAGACGGGTAAAGAGGCAGACGGACAAGAAGAAAAACATGGTGAGAGATTTCACATTAAAAACCAGAACCAGAACCAGAGGACCAGGATGTGTCCTACTTCCTGTCTCCTGTCTCCTCATGTCCTCTCTCCTCACGTCCTCTATCCTCTCTCCTCACGTCCTCTCTCCTCTCTCCTCATGTCCTCTCTCCTCACGTCCTCCCCCCTCGTCTCCTTCCCTCCCCAGCTGTGTTTTAACTGCAGGAAACCGGGTCACGGTCTGGCCGACTGTCCGGAGGCGGACCGGGACGAGGAGATGGGCCGGGGGATCTGCTACCGCTGCGGCTCCACCGAACACGAGATCCAGAAGTGCCGAGCTAAAGTGGACCCGGCTCTGGGTGAGGACGCGGTGGCTCACAGCTGGAACATCTGGACCAGATTACTGATGGATCTGCTTTAACACTGTGGTTTCTCTCAGGTGATCACCCGTACGCCAAGTGCTTCATCTGCGGTCAGACCGGACACCTGTCGAGGTCCTGCCCCGATAACCCCAAAGGACTGTACGCACAAGGTACACACACACACACACACACACACACAGATACACAGATACACACAGCTGTTTTGGGCACATCAGATACAATCTAATTACTTTAACGTCTAATTGATTAGTAATGGAGGGGGGTGGGAGTAGAGAGGGACGGGCTCACAGGTAAAGAAGAGGCTCAGTGTGAATGTAATGACTCAGGAGGGCGGTGGGGAGTACTCGCCAGGGGGTCAAAGGCCATCTCACAGCCACAACAATATGGCTGACCTAGCAATAACAGCGCCGGCTACAACATGTTCCACTATGGTGTCAATAACACACACACATAAACACACTGCGGTTCGCGTATGAATCTATTTGAGTGATGGTGAGAAGCTTGAATATGGCTGACGGAGCAGCGGCGTCGGAGTTTTAGTGTTGCCTGGAGCGTATGCATTGCTGCTGATAATGATATTATAAATATAATATTTAGGAACAAAACGTGTTGTAATGTAGCTGACATAGCAATAAGATGAGCAGGCAGTTAGTTAATGACCTGAACATTTGACCTCTAACCTCGCATGCTGCCTGGAGGCTAGACATGATCCATCCAACAAGTCCAACGCAAGCACAGCGCAAGAAGGAAACACTACTATAAGAGCCATTCATATGTAGCCGGTGACGACTCTGGGTGTGAAGGTAAATGGATGTGTTGACAGGACTATATCCATCAAAGATACACAGGGAAAATGCTTGTGGAAAAGAAACTATCTGTCTCCATTACAAGGCTGTGCTGCATTCCAAATCAGACAAAAACACATACTTAACAGTCAGAACCCAGCATGTGAGACTAGGCTGGAGCGCTAACTCACTCATTGTGAGCTGATAAGACTCAATAGGCATTTATGGCGGTGTCATTCCTGGGCATACACCAAAATTACTTTGCAGGTGACCATAAACAGCGTGCATTCACTTGTAACAGCAGCCTGAGTGGATGAACATACCCGCTGTAAGGCTGTGCTTGGTTTTTGTGTCAGGTTTTTAAAACATCACAAATTAATGTTTAGGGATAGTTCACCCCAAAATCAAAACACACGTTTCCTCTTACCTGTAGTGCTATTTATCCATTTAGATTGCTATGGTGTGAGTTTACATTCATCAGGTCGACACAAACACGACTCCATATGGACGTTGCTCTGTGTCTGCTGGATATGTAAATAAGCAACTGTATGAGCTTAGAATATGTCAATGTTGTGTTTACAGCTTGTTCTGTTTCCCCCAAGTGGCCAAAATCCAATGAATGCAGCTTTAAAGTGGAAAAACATGGCTGCTGTTCTGAGAATGCCGTCAATATTCGGTTCCACTGTCGACTGATGTCAGTCTCAGAAAGAAACAATGAGAGAACTAGACCAGACCAAAAGATTGTTGTAATTAGGTTTTTGTTTTTATTGTGTGTCAATATGTATCTCTATCCAGCACTGAGCACCTCAAAGAAACTCAAATTGAGTCTAGCAAGCGCCCCTACTCAAAGCTTTTTTAGATCTCTAAAATGAGTTTGAAAATGAGGAAAGCTTGCCAAGTATCAGCTGAGTCATTGATTTTTTTTTTTATTCTTAGAATGAAACCTTAGGACACAAAATAAAAATAGAAACCATATTTCATATTGTGGCATATGTCACATTAGACTTAGACAAGCAGGGTACCTTAGATTAATTCTATGATCAATGTATCACTAATCAAACTAATGACCAGAACCCATTTGGAGAAGGTCAAATATCAAACCACCAGCTGTCTGGCTTTCCTTTGGTTTCTGGGGCATTTTCTGGACACACACACACACACACCTACATGTACACACATATATTTCTAACCATGGCAGTATAAATAAACCCATTTAAGAAGCACTTTACCTGCACATTACCAGCTGGTTCTTTGAAGTGTGTCTGTGTGTGTGTGTTTGTTTGTAGAGTGTGTGTGTGAATCTTAAAAGATTAGGGGCAGCAGCAGGTCTTCTTTTGTAGCTTAACCTCACTATTTATGCACGTGTCTGTAGCTTTGAGGTGCGCACACGTGTGTGTGTGTGTGTGTGTGTGTGTGTGTGTGTGTGTGTGGAGTTGGACTGACCATACTCGGCTCGTAGATGCTCTGGAATGTGCGGCTCATAACCCTCCTTCTCTGGAACCTCATCGAAATCATCCTCATCGTCGTCCTCTTCATCTCCGTCTGAAGAGGCCTTCATCTGAGGAAGAGTAGGTAAGGTTTAGTTTTGTTTAACATACTACAAAGAGTTTATAACTGCTTATGAAACAGCCTCAGTTTAATACTGATGCTTCTATAGACCTCCATAAACAAACAAGACCATCAGAAAGAAGACTGGCTATTTCTATACAGTTATTCTGAATCTTTGCCATTGGGGGGGGATTCCCCTCAAAATCAATGAAATGAAGCGGTAGAAATGCTACCGCTTTTGTCCACAGGGGCCGCCAGAATCAACACTAACTCAAAGTTCCTTGGGGGAAACAATGATTTTTTTATAGGAAGTTATTTTTTTTAATTATTATTATTTTTTTGTGTGCAATGAAAATGTATTTTCAAACTGGTTTTGATAATATAATACACACTTTTCCTCGATTTTTCAACCACATTTCAAAGTCATCAGGGGACATAGCAAACTCCAGCCAGTGCCATGCCATTGTTCCAATGGCCCCTCACAATGAAACCCTGACAGTCTGAAATATTTGGCCCGACAGCCCGTGATTACAAAAACAAACGCCCATTGTTCTGAAAATACACACTCTGTTATCACCAAATTACAAACACAACTTAACTGATGGAATCAACGTACTTATTTTAACCTAAACTATGATCTTTTCCTAAACATAAGACTGCAGCAGTTGCCCACTAAAAGCAACAAGATTGTTAAAACACTTCAGCAATACCTCTATCACCTGCTGTGTAGTCTTTGCATATGTTGGGGCAGCAACATTCAACCTACTGTGTGTTGAGCTTAGCAATAGGATATTAACCAGAGGCAAAGCAGCTTGGCAGTCTGATAGACAGATAAGACAGAAGAGTACAGTGAACTAGTTCTCTATGTGTGAGACAGGGGCTGAAAGAGATGGAGATGGGATGAGCCTGTTGCTCAGATGTACAATCAGCCCTTCTTCTTGGGGTACACTGCATGTTTAACACCACAGCAGCACTGCAGACATTATAACCACCACATATAAATAAACATACACTCTGCTTTAACCTATTTGTTGAGCTCAATGTCACCTTTTCACAATATTGTCCAGATTAATAAGGATCAAGTAAATGGTCATAAACCAGAACAGCACTACGTACAGGTACAGTGAAATCTTGTAAAAACCCACAACCTGATATTTTGTCAGACTCAGTCCAGGTAGGAGAGCTCTGAATATGTGCATTTTCCAGTGTAAAATAGCTCATTACTTGGAAGATTAAGGTTTCATTTATTATTTTAATATCTCAGATACAGTTTAGAAGTGGTTCAAATCCCATTTTAAGCACAGGACCTACCAGGTCTTACTCTACAGCGGACCAACATCATGAGTGGAGGTCCTAGAGGCTCAATTTAGGGACTCTTATTATTTGGACTCTAAAATAAAACCATAATTCATCATAGAAATGACAAAGCATTAAACAAATCAATTATTTGATGTACCTGAATTTCTTTTAAAATTCAGAGTAAATACTGTAATTGTCCCTGGAGTAACAAAAGACACTTGTCTTTACTCTCTACCTTTGAAAACTAAAACTCAAGTAAGAAATCTTATCTGTAATCATGAACCTGGAGCTAAACTTTAATAACCACATGAAATCAAAAACAAACTCTCAATAACATCATCTTAAAAACATTGTAAGAATCAAAGGATTCATGTCCAGGCAGGATTTAAGAGAATCCTGTTCACACTTTTATTACATTACTCAAACCGGAGTGCATTTGTTAGGGACTATTTTCAGCAGCGGATTAAACCACGTTTGTTGCTCTAGTGATTATTCCTGGCAGCAGGATGGTGTGTGTGGGATTGAGTCAAAATAAACTGCAGTGTATGTCATGAGTGTGGCTCAGTTATGTGTTTTAAAAAGTTTTTGGACAACAACAGAGCTCTATGGCACAGAGGAGGAAGATATATCAGGCTTTAATACACAC